AGGGGGGGGGGGTAATTATTATTTTTTTGTGTAGATACCTTATTTATCTATGGAGACCAAAATATTCTGTGGGACCCAAGACCTATATATTTTTAACTTTTAGTACCATTCTGATTGTAAAAAAAAATGTTGTGATCTTTTTATGGCTTCATCGCTCAATTTTTTAAAAGTGTCTTCATCCTAAGTTGTGATTTTGACGCAAAATTTGGTAACAATAAAAATAAAAATGTAAAAAATTACGTAAAGTATTGAAGGGCCATAGGCCATAGGGGGGGAGAGTAAGATGAACTTACTACCTTGCCTGTGCTTGGCGTAACAGATGCCTTCAATTGTCTCCATCGGGACAGGCCCCACCCACATGTTGTCCACGCAGGTCACGTGGTACACCTGGTCACTCTGCCCTGGACAGGTGATGGTGCCGTTGTTGTCCTGTCTGATCCACAGTAGGCCCTGGAGAGATGAAGGGTCTGCACACCCAACTGGGAGGGTGATGACGACGACGACGATGATTGTTGCAATGTGATGATGATTGAAATGTGATGTTGATGGTGGCCATGCTGATGATGATTGTAATGTGTTGTTGTTGGTGTAGGTGATGAGGATTGTAATGTGATGTTGGTGGTGATTAAACACACTTTCTATACATTTTTACAAACACACATAAATATTACAAAAATTGTAACACATGTATATGAAAATAAACACACACGTGTGCGTGTGTGTGTATTGAAAAATTTCAAAAACCGACAAATGTAGATGAGTTAAATATCAAAGTCATCAGCAGACAATAATTAACTAATGACCAACAACAAAAAAAAAACAACAATAGAAAAAAAAACGAAAATAGAAAACAATTTAGCAACAAACAAAACAAAGAACACAAAACAGCAACAAAGAACTAATATCGCGCATGTCCAGCGTACAACGAGCAAATAACGGTACTCAAATGAACTAACGAGAAAGATTTATGATGACAATTCTGTGGCCATTAGACTGACCATTAAAAAAAAGAAAACAGAAGATATCGGCAGAGACGAAGTGACGTATATATTTATTAAGTTCTTTCTCCTACTAGTACATACTTACTGTCTTCCTGGCTTTTGCCATGTAGTAGTAGTGGTGGCAATGATAATAATATTAATAATAATGATGATGATGATATAATGATGATGATGACGATGATGATGATTGATGATAGTAGTGGTGGTGGTGGCGGTGGTGATGAGGGTGATGATGATGATGATGGTGATGGTGATGACAATCATGATAAAAAAAGAAAGAAAGAAAGTGAAAAAATGATGAAGAAAAAGAGAGAGAAAGAGAGAGAGAGAAAGAGAGAAAAAGAGAGAGAGGGAGAGACAAGCAACAGAAGTGTTAAATGGAATATGAAATAATGATTCAGATGATAATGATGATGATGATGATAACAATCGTTAATAATGAAGAAAGAGAGAGAAAAAAAGAGAGAGAGAAAAAGTGAGAGTGTAATGGAAAGAGACAAGCGAAGGAATTGTCAAATGAGAAGTGCCATGAGATAAGAACATAGGAAATCCCAATAAATGCTCTCTGTTAAATGAGAGGAGATATCGATGCACTAAGCAGATCGTCCTCATCAATTACATCAACGAAATCAACAACAGCAGTAACAACAACAACAACAACGTCAGAAACAATAATATCAACAAAAAACGACGTCAACTTCAACAACAACGTCAACAAAAAAAACAACTACAACAACATCAACATAATAAAAAGCTATAACAACATCAACAACAACAACAAAATATGTCATCAAAAGTAGCAGCTGCAACTGCAATTACGACGACGATGACGACAACAACAACAACAACAACAACAACAACAACGCAAAACACTAAATCAAAAACTTTGAAAAAGCTAATAGCTAAAAAAAGTGATGTAACAACATATACAGCAAAAAAACATCGGACCGTAATAACTGTTCCAAAAAAAATCACGACATCAACCATAGTAACATTGCATCAACATAACAACATTAACAACAACAACAACATTATAACAATAACATCAACAATGACGTCATTATTAACAACGATGGCATAACAAAGACATCAGCAAACACATTAAGATCAAGAGAGGAAACAACATGAACGGCAAACTGCCAATACACTTTCAGTATTCCCTACAGTAACAATTGCTTTCAACAGAAGAAACAACGAAATAACAAATAGTCACTACTCCCACCACAAACAAAAATATAACAACAACAACAACAGCAGCAGCAACAACTAACAACCGCAACACATCACACCACCACAACAACCGCAACAACCACACCACACCACAACAACCGCAACAGCCACACCACCACCACAACAACAGCCACAATAAAACAAAAGATTGTCCATGTTTATGTCGCAACATATGAGCGCTTGTAAGCCGACCGTTGTTGGCGATTGTTTACTGCCCATTCAGTCACGTGCTATGGTCAGTGGTTGCTGGTAGCCAGTGAGAATTTTTGGTCTTTCGCTGTTATTACTTCCATAGCCTAATTTATTTTCATTTGTTCTTTCGCTTGCACGTACATTCGCTGGCTTTGTTAGCTGGCACTATCATTTAAAAAAACTAGTAAAAAACAAATTCGGGAGATTAATTCAATGTTCTCTTTTATGTATATACAACGTACCAAATTTTGGTATCTTTTTGGTAATTTTTTGATATTTTTTTTAATATTTTTCGGTATCCTTGTTTTATAAAATTTATTCTTGTCATTTTAACATTAAATCTGAATTTAATTTTTTGAAGAGTAATATGAAAGAAAAGAGTGATATGAAAGAAATGTATACATAACAAAAAATTAACAAAGTGCTTTCATCTTTCATCATACATGCGCGCACACACACACACACGCACACACACACACACACACGCACGCACACACACACGCACGCACACACACACACACACACACACACACTTGAAAAAATAAAATGCCTACGAAAGTATTCAGCGAGGAAAGTTTATAGTCTTAAAAATCATTTAAACGAACCGCAGACGTCAATAACTCGTGGCACAATTTCGCTTCTTTTCTTTCTCTCAAACTTTCTCATTTATTTTATTTTTAATTTTTATTTATGGTGTTTAGTTTAATTTTAATTAATGCGATTTATTTGTTTTTTTTTTATTCAAGTGTTCATTACTCTAATCTTTATTGAAGAAGCCTCTCGTCAAGTTTGCTTGAGTGGGGTCTATAAATCCCGAGAAGTTGAAATTCTTTTATAGGGCCGTTCATGTTTTTCATTTCGTTTATATTATTTTGCTAACTTATGTTACAGGCACTATTTTTAAATGAATGAATGAATGAATGAACGAACGAAGGAACGAATGAATGAATGAACGAACGGATGAATGAACGATCGAACGAACGAACGAACGAACGAACGAATGAATGAATGAATGAATGAATGAATGAATGAATGAATGAATAAATGAATGAATGTATAACAATGCGTTTTGAAAATAATAAAACGTGAATAAATTAAAAATAATTAAACGATGCATTGACGAGCTGAATCAGCAAGAATAATTTTGTATGGATGCCTATTAAAATAAATCTTTGACTGAAAAAATTGACAATTTGTTCGAAATTGAAATCAAAATATACCAAATTAACAATAAAAATCAAATTTTAAAACTTATTTAATTTTTATCCATGCAACAGTAGGAAGATGTGTATGATAGCAAACAATTATTTAATAACTTTGCCGTGCAATATTCACTATGATCTTTATTTACCATTAACACTAACACATCGCAATATTTAGAAACGATATAATCAATTTTTTATGACAATTTACGTTTAACTCAACTTAAAATATTTTCATCCCATTTTTACGCAATTGCCGGCGTACGCAAGTTCAACGCGATTCAGAATAATAACATTCACAAACGAACATTAGCATTAGAATGAATATCAGCTCTTCTCTGCGATAACGTGTAACAATGCTAGCAGGATATTTTATTTGTCGTGCTACGGTTCAGTTCAAACTCTGTAGCATCGTAGAAACGAATGCAAGCGGTCTAATTGCGATTGAACATGTAGTGAGAAAGATAAAGTGGTCATCGCTGGTCAGCCTGTTATCACGTCTGTCCGAGGATTACAAGCAATTTAAATACATTAATATTAATGAGCGTATGTTTGCTCGCATTTAATGAAAGCCATCCGCTGGTTAAGAAATCAATTCGTATTTGGCAATCTCAACTAATGATGTGGAAAATGATAATCACACAAAATGTTAATTCATTAACATTTTGATACAAATCTTTTATTATATGCTTCAATCTCGCAGTCGTTAGGTGCATACGGAATGAAATAATTGAATGTTGAAGAACTTGCACTGAAATGTGGCAGCGATGAACTGCTGGAGACTTCCCAACAACAAACAAACATGAATGCATGGCTTCAGGACGCTTTCAAATATTTTTATGAATTACTCAAGATCTCAAAACAAATTTAAAATATTAAGAAAAAAGTAAATCAAACGTCTTGTCTTCAGCAGACACTGCATGTTCAAACAACAGCAACAAAACTAAAAAACAAAACTGAACAAATAAAAGAGCCATTAGAACGTTACAACGCCGTAAAAACACCAACAACAATTGAACATCGGCGAAGGGAACAACAACTGTCAGTGACCGCAGCTAAACAAACAACCGGTCAACCAACCAAACAAGAAACACCAGACTGAAACTAACACTGAATGCGAATGATGAACATGGCGACATTTCGTTTGGGCAGTTTGATCTCCAGTCTTTCGCTATCACTCACCAACACGTTGTGCTCATTGGCAGACAACAACATTGAGGATGACGATGAAGACGACGACGACGAGGAGGTTGAATGTGATCTTGATAACAATCCTGAAAATGACCAGATGTCTCCGGAGCAGATGGGCACATTTTGACCGCTGGGTTTCTCAATGAAGTACGCGATGATTTCACACTCGGTCGAGGAGAGGTTGCGAGCCTTCCAACTGTAATCAATGATGCTCACCTTCATTCGCTCACCTGGCCTCCTTACTACAATCCAGGGATTGCCATCGACGCCACAGTTGCTCGAGTTCAGAATAAAATTTGACAGGAGGATCTCGTTTGAAGATGTAGGGACGATTGTGGCTGCTGCTGCTGTTGCTGCTGCTGTGGTCGTGCTGTTCTTTGTTGACGGTGGAATTGGATGTCGGTGTTGGTTGTTGTTTTTGTTGTTGTTGTTTTTTGTGGTTGTTGCTGTTGTCGGTGATTTGGCCATAGACGAGTTGATGTAGCAGTTGTTTGGACCACTTGGTAGGTAAACTAAAAAAATCAATAGATTCGTTTAACAATAAATTTAATATATTTTTGAAAAATTACTTGATTAATTCAAAAACTCTTTTTAATTAAGATTTAAATACTGAATCTTATTTTGTTGAAAAAAGACACACAGACGAAACAAACAACAGCCGACGATCCTCAATCACACCTCATTAATACGCATCGTAAGTTGTTTTGTAATAATCGCAACAACTGTAATATATAGTTATTACCAATTAACTAATCCATTAATCTGTCTATAATCTGTTATTAGTATATTATTAATCCGTCTACAGAGTTAAACAGACAAACAAAAATAAAGAGAAAAATGAGAAAGATATAAAAAAAATAGAGGAAGAGAGAGAGAGAGAAAGAGAAAAAGAAAGAGAGATAAAAATGCAGAGTAAGGAAGGCAGGCAGACGGGCAGGCAGAGAGAGGCAAGCACTCTCCCACCTCTATTGAATCATCTCATTTGTATGGGTCTCTATTTGATTACTCTTGCACGCAGTCAATTCCAAGCGAAACAAACTCAATTAGCAGCAGAACTGAACGTGAATGACGACTATGGATACGCGCCATTGAACAACACTAACCTACAAATGCATTATCATTTCATGTTCACTCTATGTTCACTCAAGTGTTCACTCGTTCGTTCGTTTATTGCTTCGTTTATTGGCTTGATTGTTTATTTTCTTATTTTTATCTCTTTTTTTATTGTTAAATTATTTCTTTTGTTTTCAGAAAACTTTTGTTTCGCGTTTCTCGGGTGATCGGTTTAAAGTTAAATAATTGTGTCTCTCTATTTTTTCATTCAATATTAATGCTTGTTAGTCTATATGGAAACGTATCTTCCATTCATGTCATGTCATATATTGTATACTAATTTTTTGAGCGTCTGTTTTCATGTTCATTGCCATTATAAATTTGTTAATGTGCGTTTGTTATTTAAAGTTCCATGTTTAAATACAGGTGTGTACAAATTAGAAGTTAGATTAAGCGGATGATTTATATGCATAATGAATCGATGTATACAATTATATATATGCATATATTTGTATGCATGTTTGTTTGTTGCCTGTTTATTTAATAGTCAATAAATTGTGCCTTGCCTGGCTCTTATAATTCTGCTGTGTTCTTTTTGAATGCACCAATTGTGTTTTCGCTCCTTGGAGGTCTAAATTTATTCTCAACATTTATACGTTGACGTTGTTGATGCTCTTTAATGTTAGTGTTTGCCTGATGTAATTTGTGGTTGATGCCATTTTGTTTATGTCGTTGATGCGGTTTAAAGTTGTTTTGTATTAATGATGTCATTGTCTGTTGTTGTCGGTCTTTGTTTTAATGTTTTTGAAATTAATAATTTATTTGTTGTTTTTATTTGTTGATGGTGTTAAAAACTTTCGTAATAGTGTAGGATTTTTTAATAAAATGATTGTTCACTGATGTCTGGTTGGCTGGTCTGCAGCGTTATAATATGACGACCTTGCTGACTTCTTTTGCAATTTTGTAATGTGAGCATTTCATTCGATGCCTCAATTAGCTGATTGCTTACCAAATTTTTACGACGAGCATTATAACTTTTTCAATTGTATAACTTTTTTTTATTTTCGTGTAACTTTTTGTAAGAAATATATCTGTCTGGTTCCTGTGTTTTTTTTGAGGAGTTACAAACTGGAGAGCACTTATATGCAAGCACACGCCTGCTTGCAGAAGGCGAGCAGCGTCACAAACATTTAGACACGCATTCATTTATTTCTTTATGCAGCCATAAATTTCTTTTATATTTCTATTTTCCAGCGCGGAGGCAATCCTCTTAAGAAACGCGCACACACACACGCATGCACACACGCACAGGCACATGCACGCACGCACACAGACGCGTATGCACACACACGTAGGCTTAAAAACACACATGCACACACACATAAAAAAGATAAAAAACACACAGAGAAAGAAAATTGTTTACATTATACAGTACATAAATATTAATTCAACAGATGCAAACATTGAAATCCATCCATCTTAAAAATACAAAACAAAAAACAAAAAAAAACAAACTTAAATATAAAACGCAAATACATAAATTATACAAACTTGCAGAAACTTATTTAAAACATACAAACACGCATACAGACACATACAAACACAAACAAACAAAGCCCTAACCAGGCGTCGCATGAAATATTATATATACATTGTTTGCATGGAGCACTCTACTGCGTTACTATTCATCTTTAGATGCTGGAGTAGGCACAGTTGAAAAAAATGTAATTGTATGTATGTGTGTATGTATGTTTGTTTGCATGTGTATGTATGTATGTGCGTGTATGTTTGTTTATGTTTGTGTTGGTGTGTTTTTTGTATGTATGCATGCATGCGTGCATGTATGTGTGTGTTTGATGTTTGTTTATGAACGTGCGTGCTTAAATGTGTGTGTGTGTGTGCGTGTGCGCGTGTGTGTACGTGAGTCGTGTCATATTCCCAATTGTTTGAAGGTTATGTTTTATTAAATATTTGTATATTTGTTCACATACACAGACATAAACAGACATACAGAAACACACAAAGACATACATAGATATACAGAGACATACAAAGAAATAAAGAGACATACAGAAACATACAAAAACATACAGAGACATACAAAAATATACAGAGACATACAGAAACATACACATACATGCAGAAACACACACAGACTTGCACAGACTTACAAAGCCATACACAGACATGCAAACATACAGACTCATACATACATCACACATGCATTTGAAGTAATATTAATATATATATATATATATATATATATATATCCCATCAATTTGCATGTTTGTGTATGGCT